TTATTGACGTTGATTTTCTATGTTACTTTTATATACAACGACTTCCACTAATATATTTTTATTTTTTTTGTTCTATTTGTGCCGATTTAATTAATTATTAACAAGTTGAGTAACGTCAAACAGAGTAACTTTAATTAAAAGCGGATGATATTTGAATTATAAGTTGTGGTTGTTCAGGATAGTATGTTTGAATGTGTGTCTGTATGTCTGCCCACGTTACCTTGAATAAGCGATAATACTTCAAATGGAATGTTTGTTTCAATGTCAAATACGCACATAATGTACATTTTTCAATTTTTTTACTGAAAATAAGCATTATAAGCAACTTAATCAATACAAATGACACTTCTATTCTCGCAACTTTTTTATAATAAATACAAAAATTTATTGGAAATTTCTCGTAAGACGTAAAGTTTGGTATTTCACAAATTAGACTGGAAGAAGGCTCGATATTCGGACTCGATGGTGGTCCAGGTTTTCTTCTTTCTGCGAGTCCATCGATGGAGTTGTTTATCTGACGTTTAGCCAGGTGCTGTGGTTGGTATTTTGAGGGAACGTAGCAAGGGCATAAAATCATTCGCTGTGGTTTTGCTAACTGTAAGACTAAGTCACCATAATCAAGAAGCCTGAATATCGAGTTCTCTTTTGATAACGCCGTTGACCATGATACGGAACGTACTATAGGTGCTAAGAATGATGAAATATTGAAGTTGAGAAAGGGATACGGTTCCCCACCTAAAAGCTTAACTCCATGTATGGTAAATTAATTTATAATGGCTAATGGAAACTTTCTTGACAGGTTTTAATTTTCCAAAATTGCCGGGAAAATGGCCGTTTACGTTGACCGAACAACAGCTAGATGCCCGACGTAGAGGTTTAGAGCAATATTTGGAAAAAGTATGTGCGGTGAGGGTTATAGCCGAATCGGATATCATGCAAGACTTCCTTACAGATCAAGACGATGAGAGTAATTGTAGCCCTGTTGACTTAAAAGTAAGTATAACACATCTGCGCCTCTTTATTTATCTAATCAGGATGTGCGGTTGTTATACTGATAAGTTTATTGACACAGGATTCAAATTTTTGACAAACCTAAAACAGCCATATGAAAGTACAACTAAACACTGGAAAGTCAGTAATTTTTTATAGAAAACGAAATTCCATTGCAAAAAACTATTTACTATAAGTCGATGTATTGGTGTATTTTTCATCTTGTTCTATGTAATAAATAATTTATTGTCTAAATGTTTAAGCAGATGGGCATGAAATCCATTTGAATTTGCGCGCTCACGATTGAATCCTGAACGCAGCGTAAATCTGTTTTGTTACTTTAATAGTCATTTTCAAATTGACTTTTAAAATTCGTTGGTAAATTATTGGCCTGTTAAATTTTAAATATTTTCGTTTTTATAAATTGGTAGGATCATATTTTTAAGTTATTTTAGCAATTGTTATCTTTAATTTTGTGACACAAACCTGTAGTTTTCCGTTAAAGTATTTATTTTTATTGGAAAATGAAACGAGTAATTTACAAAACGTGTTATATAAAATGGTTTTAACTAATTATGTATGCAAACGTGTAAACATCTAGTACTTCGAAGGGAACATTAGTATAATTTAACACGTTGTGCAATATCTAACAAATCATAAAAGTCTTATCTAAAATATGTGATATTGTAGTTTTTAATTTTCATGTTTAGATAAACAATAGGTATAGGAATTCTTAAGTAATGTAGTTTGAAAACTTACAATTTAATTTAATGATTTTTGAAAATTAATTAATAATAACTTTGGTACAGATCCTTTTGCCAGATAGAGAAGTGGTCACAGTATCGTTAAAGAAGAATTCAAATGCCGATGAAGTGTATGCGGCAGTCGTTAGAAAAATTAACATGACTAGGAAAACAGCACTCTATTTTTATTTGTTTGAAATAGTCGAATATAATTTTGGTGAGTACATACACTAACAGCGAAATCAGTAAAATTATTTAATTTATTTTTTTGAAATTTAGAACGCAAGTTACAACCCTCTGAGTACCCCCATAATTTATACATACAAAATTACAGTACAGCGACAAGCACGTGTCTTTGTATAAGAAAATGGCTTTTCTCTTTGAGTCAAGAACTGTCTCTAATGAACGATACTCAAGCAACATCGTACATCTTCTGGCAGGTATGTAACTTTTGATCTACAACTCTATGTACTTTTGTTTTTAATCTATGATTAAATATATAAATAAACACTTATTTTAATTTTTTAACAAATGAATCCTTTTTTAATCTTGTTCAAAATTCATTTGAAAATGTTATTTATTGGATTCATGTTATATATGAAGACACTTCAAAAAGTAATGATAATAGTGATTTGGGGGGAAAGTGTGTTCAATAGTGACATGAATAGTTCCATGGTATAGCCCATTCTTTGAGCATCTTTAAGTGATCTTTTACGATTAGTTTCAAGTCCAATGGTGCAGAGTGATTGAACGTATGTGACGATTCGCGTAATGTATATAAGATCCAGCATGTATAAAAGTTGAAGCGATGTTGTAACGTGAAATTTTTAATGAAACTGGAGAGGAATTGAAGCGGTGGGGGATAGAGATGAGCCGTGCGGGGGCGCTTTCAACGTCTTGCACCGAGGTTTCAAAGAATATAGCGGTCGTTATCCTCTAAGAACTGTTAGAGAGTTTGCTTCTCAATTGACAGAACATTTACGATTTTGCAAAATTTGGCCATATCATGATTGCATTACAAATGGGTACCGCTGATGTTTACGTCAGAGCAAGTACAGCATCGTGTTTCCGAGTGTCAAGACCTGTTATCGTAGTTTGACGGGGGAACCAAATGAAGAAATATATTGTACCATAAACCTAGATTACACTTAAATGTATCATTACGATCCGGAACTAAAACAACGAAAGGTTTTAATGGAAAAGGATGCAGATGTCTCCTCCAAAAAAAGCAATGAGTTTGATAAGGTTGTAATAATAATAATATTTTCGATTTCGAAGAATCTGTGCCAAATGCAGCTCGTTAAGTGTTGTCGGTTACGGTAAATTATAATAAATCGGTTTTCATCATGATATTGCACCATTTTAAGAAAAACGTCTTCATAAGAACATAGATGAAATTTTACTATGTCATGCTAATATGCAGCCCTGCGTAATTCACACTATAGTAAATTTCTTGAACGCTCGCTGTATCCCTTTACGACTTATGACTTCTGGCAGTTTGCTGAAGTCAAGTTTCCTCTCAAGGGATAGAAATTCAAGACTAATTACAAGGTCAACAAAACTGTGGAGGAGCTCGATACTAGAGAGTGGCGGGAACAGTAAGAAAAGTGTATTACAACAGAGAGATTACTTCGGAAAGGAACGTGTATATGTATTTGGGAGAAGAATAAATATTTTTTGCTGTATAGCAAAATTATCATTACTTATTGAACAACCCTAAACTAAATTTGCAAACAAAAAATACATAATTTTAATTGTAAATTTACAGGAAGAAATTATGTGGCCATAAGTTCTTGTTTTACATTTTTAGGATTATAATGTTTTAAAACTGCCCATAATAACATTTTGATTTTTATATTTAGAAAAACTTTCTTAATTTTATGAATGAAATATTTCTGGCAGATGTATTTCAAAATTGTTTATTTTATTAGGCAGTAGATGAAGTGAACAGAGGCTGTATACACGCGGGAGAACGTCTTTATCAGCTTAAAGCCCTTCAGGACGTTACGAGGGCTACCGAATACCTTAAATTGGCCCGCGATCTTTCCGGCTATGGGGAGGTCGTGTTTCCCCATTGCCCGTGCGATTCACGCAAAGAAGGTCACGTTATAGTGTCCGCGGGGAGTAAGGGATTTAAATTGCACGCATGCCAAGAAGATGGGACATTAGAGAGTCAAGTGGTACATTTATCTTGGGATTGTATAAGGCAATGGGAAGTAGATGATGAAGCAATGGCATTTTGTCTGAGATATGATCGACCTGACAAGACACCCAGGTGGCTCAAAATTTACAGTCCGTATGTAAGTAAGAAATACGTATAATATATTGAATTAAATCATGTAATTGTTGCAGTAAAACAGTAAAAGATTGTATTAATATTCCTAACAATATGCTTTTATAGTGTAACTAGAGAAATTGTTTATACCAAATATTGAACTATCTTTAATAATTTAGAAAACTGACAGTTGTTGTCAAAAGTGCTTTCTTTTTCGTGAACACTAAACCTAAGAAGTAAATAATTGTTTAATGTATTTATCCAAATTCCATTTTTTTAGCTTTAGTTTGACAAGTTTCTCATTAAATATTCATTTATTAATGAAATGCTTGTTTTCCCTTACGTGAGCATTCATGAAAACTGAACATTAACAAGTCACTTTGCCAGATTTTTTATATAAATGTTTGGGGATGGATTTTTCCGGCGTGACCTTAGCAATGTTTACTTTATCGAGAGTAGCGTTAATAAAATATTTTGTTTTTAGTATTCCTATCTTTTGGACTGTTTTGAAAGGATCGTAGAAGAGAATAAATGGATCGATACCGGAGAATGAATTAATTAACACTCCAATGTTTTTGTTTCGTTTTATGACGGTTCCAATTTAACTTCAAAACAACTCCGAAATACTCAAGATCCCCATAATTATTGTTAAGATGCATTAAAGAATTTTATTACAGCTCTCTTATAAATCTGTACATTCACGTTTTAACAGCATTGGGCATCAACAAAATGTACATTTAGGTGATAAATTTAAATTAATTTTCCTGAAAATGGTAAGCCCTCGAAACAATTTTTACATCACACTGGTTACTTTTAAAATTATTAATGTCAAATAATATGACATTATTTAAAACAGCGGCACAAATTAATGTATGTAGGAATATGAAGTGATGGCACTTAGGTTTTAAGGTCATTGATATGTATGAAGTTTGTATGTGTTATTTGTTGAAATTCATACTTATTCAAATATTATTAAAAGTTGTATAGAATATTATTATATTAGCAGTTATTGGTTTCTTAACTACTTTGTATTCTTGATTATTACAGGGTGAACCGTTAGAGTAATAGTGTAATGATAAATTTTTGCTGATTAGGAAGAAATAGGTATGTTTTAATATCGTAAGTCGAGAGTTTGATGTTTTTCTGTGACAAAATGGAGCACCCTGTATATGTAACGCAGCTGCCTTTGTAAGATCTAAAAGTTAGTTGTTGGAATTTATTTTGTTTTTTATTGCAAATTATATCACAAAGTTTATGGCATAATTATTTGGAGTGTCTTTTATAAAAAGAAAAAACAACTTAATTATTGTGATAGTTGAGTAGTTTCATAGTAGTGCTACATAATAATTGAAAGTATAATATTTATTGATTGTTATTTTAAATGTATATTAAGGAAATTAAAAATGCANTTAGAAGTGGCATTAATAGACTGGAACACCGCTATGAGAAATGTATCAGCCTTGGAGGAGATTATGTTGAGAAATAAAAAAAAACAATTTTTTAAAAACCTTGTTTTTCTTGGTCAGGCCGGAAACTTATCAATCCACCCTCGTATATCTAGCTTTGACCTAGTTACATTCTACACATATCTTTAATATACTTCTTTTTATAATTATTTCACTGAAGCACAAGACATACTATTTAATTTTAGGAAGCGGAAAGATTAGAACCCACCGATGATAGTGGGTACCCTTATTATGATTACAGCGAGAAAAGGTCTCTCCCCATAAGCATACCAGATTATCACTATAACGAACGGGGAGGCGAACGATATGTGACGTTCAACATCTATATGGCGGGTCGTCATCTGTGCTCCCGACGGTACAGGGAGTTTTCCCAATTGCATAATAATCTTAAGAAAGAATTTGTAGGTTCGTATTACTTTTTAAGAATTTATACATACATAGATATACGTCACTATGAATGTCCGACACTAGTGAATGTTAAGACACATGGGAAGACATCAGGGCATGTTAACATACATCATCATAAGGTTGTCAGTCCTAAGACTGCTTGGACACGTACCTCCACTCTTTCCTATCCTGAGCTAAACTTCGCATTTCCCTAAAACTGGAACAACCCACATCCTTAACTATTTGCGAACAACCTCTCCTAACTCCTGTTTCTGCCTCTAATATGTCTCTGACTAGACCTTCATACCTGAAAAGGTGTCCTACCAAACTATCTCGCCTATTTCTTATTGACTTCCATACAGTCCTCTGTTCTCCTTTTCTTTCTAATACCTCTTCATTTCTAACCTTTTCTATCCACGTTATCCTCATCATTCGCTTATAACACTACATTTCGAACGCTTCTAACCTTTTCTTTTCCGCCGCGACCGCTGTCCATGTTTCGCACCCGTACAACGCAGTGTTCCAACACCTTTAACAACCTTTTTCGAATTTCTAAATTGACCGTTCACGAGCATAGTTGTGACTTCTTTTTATTAAAGGCGACACGACCCTGCGCTATCCTCTGCTTTATATCCCTACTACTCCTTCCATCCTGACTTATCTGACTTCCTAGATACCTAAAATCAGCCACTTCTTCTAATTTTTCGTCTCCTATCTTTATATTCGCTCTTTCCCTACTTTTTCTTTCCTTGCATACCAGTATTTTAGTTTTACTTTTATTTATTTTCAT